AAAGAGTTGCATTTCAGAAGGTGGTGGAGGGTGCCACGCTTCTGCCTGATCCAAACCTGATCCAGAGTCTGGGAGACTCATTTCTACAGATGGATATGGATCACGTGCAGGGCCTGCACATTCAACATGGTTCGTTTGCAAGCAAATTTTTCTCTTCCTAACTGTCAGACCTATAAAATCTCTTGGGACAGGAGTCAGGCTACATCCTTTCTGGCTCCTGCAGCTAAAACTTAGTTCCAAGTTCTGTTTTCTTTTCCATCAATGTCAAACCAGGGTAACTCTGTTTAAACCAGTCCTTTGTTACTCATGGCGCCTGATCTAGAAGAGAAATCTCAGCTCATTGTCTCCTATCTGTATGCAAGCATGTAATGAAGGGGAGAGAGAAGGCAAAGGATGCAGAACCGACTGCTGTCCTTGCCACCAGCTTTCTCCTGCCTAATACCAGGAAAAAGGCCAAGCAGGAAGACATGTCTCTCATGTCCAGGCCATATCTCACCAGATATCCCAAATCTACGCCCAGGCTCACCTCCTTCCTGCCCCCCGAAAGAGAACAGACACCAACTGTATAGTGCATTGGGATTAACCCAACATACATCAGCAAATGCTTTCCACGTGGTAAATAGCTTTTACACCAACCAAGAGCTTGCTAGACCCAGGCCACGTGGAGCAGCTCTATCAAATAAGCTGCACGCATATTCAAAGCCTAAGCGAAACTGTGCTTTAAAGCCCCTTCAAAGGCTAAAGTGGGCGAGCTCCTGGGATCTCTAATACAAGACAGTCCTTTTCAGGGCATGCTCCTGACTGCACAGATCAGGTGAGAGACTGGCTGTAGCCTCAACATCACCTGGCTCCATTTCGCTTTTCTTACCTGTCCTGCCCTCAGCATCAGAAAAAGGTCAACTCATGACACCATTGCAGCACAACAGAAGGCTGGAAAAACCCAGTTCATCCTCCCACAGCAGACCTGGTGGAAGAGGCACAGTGCTGTAGGCTGGCCAACTGTTTCCTGGGGTCTGAGACACGAGAATCGTTCATGCAAATGCAGTAAAATGTACTTAGAGCCACATAACTTCTAGGCCAGTCATTTACTGCCAAATTCTATTCCCTGCTAAAGTATTATGGTCATTAAGACTGTCAACTTTGAGCTTCCTACCATGACTCGGGTCTCAGGGCTGGATGCATTTAAATCAGTGGGACCAGATGAGCTCCACCCAAGGGTGCTGAAAGAATTAGCCAATGTCATAGCAGAGCCACTGGCACGACTGTTTCAGCACTCGTGGTGCTCAGGTGAGGTCCCTGAGGACTGGAAAAGGGCCAATGTGGTTCCTATTTTCAAGAAGGGGAGGAAGGAAGATCCAAGTAACTATAGACCGATTAGTCTCACTTCTTTCCTTGGGAAAACCCTTGAAAAAAAATTATCAAGGATCACATTTGTAGGAGTCCAGCAGGTAATATAATGCTGAAGGGCAACCAGCATGGGTTTGTAGCAGGTAGATCCTGCCAGACTAACCATTTTTCTTTCTATGACCAAGTCACTAAAAACTTAGATGCAGGAGTCAAGGTAGATGTCATCCACTTGGACTTTAAGAAGGCCTTCGACACAGTTTCTCATCCTATTCTTCTAAGCAAATTGAACAGCCATGCCATAGACGATTACACAGTCATGTGGGTGGGAAATTGGCTTAAGGGTCATACCCAGAGAGTGGTGGTGGACGGGTAGGCATCGACCTCAAAAGATGTGGGCAGTGAGGTCCCCCAGGGCTCGGTCCTTGGGCCGGTGCTGTTCAATACCTTCATCAGCGACCTGGGTGAGGGTGTGGAGAGCACTCTGTTCAAGTTCGCAGCTGACACCAAACTATGGGGTGAAGCAAACACACTGATGGGAAAAAATGAATCCAGGTGAACCTGGACAGGTTGGAGAATTGGGCAGAAAACAGTAGGATGCAATTCAACAAAGACAAGTGCAAGGTGCTGCACCTAGGCAGAGGAAATCACCAGCACACCTGTAGACTGGAGGATGACCTTCTCAGCAACACAGCGGCAGAAAGAGATCTCAGAGTCATTGTTAACTCCGAGATGAATATGAGTCGTCAATGTGACGAAGCAATTAGCAGAGCTAACCGCACTTTGTAGTGCATTAGTAGGTGCATCACAAACAGGTCCAGGGAGGTGATGCTCCCCCTCTACGCGGCACTGGTCAGGTAGCAGCTGGAGTACTGCGTCCAATTCTGGGCGCCGCACTTCAAGAGGGATGTGGACAACCTTGAGAGGGTCCAGAGGAGGGCTACTCATATGCTTAGGGGCCTGCACGGAAGGCCTTATGAGGAAAGGCTGAGGGACCTGGACCTTTTCAGCCTTCGAAAGAGAAGGCTGAGGGGGGGGATCTTGTGGCAGTATACAAATTCACCAGGGCACCCCTTGGGATAACCAGAAACAACAGCCACAAGCTGATGGAGAGTAGGTTCAGGTTGCACATTAAAAAGAATTTCTTCACGGTGAGGGTGGCCAGAATCTGGAACGGGTTTCCAAGGGAGGGGGTGCTTTCCCTTACCCTGGGGTCTTCAAGAGGAGACTGGGCAAGCATCTGGCTGGGGTCATATGACCCCAGCACTTTTTCCTGCCCAGGGCAGGGGGTCGGACTCGATGATCTTTTGAGGTCCCTTTAACCCTAGCACCTAGCATCTAAAACACTAGACTCCAAATTTAATCTCCAACAATGCACGACTGTTGCTTCAGAATATAAAAGAAACATATAGCTATTTGCCAAAGTGCTACCAAATAATAGCTTCATCTCTACTTCTTTTACCCAGGTAACCCCCATTCTGAGTAAAATCAAAGCACTAGGCCATGTCAGCCCAACTAAAGCCATATCCTGTTTGAAGTACCCTAGGGGGGCTCAGGCAGACAAGGTTCCTTGGGTGAATTTGATATCTTTTATTAGACCGACCCAAATAGTAATTCTGGTCATTTCTGCCACTGCTTACCATACAGCAATTCAATAATTCTCATCTTCTATCCTTGGAGGCTTAAATTTGATACTGCACCTCTAAAAAAATCAGGAAATAAGGACAATTTCCAAGTCTCAACTTCCAGCATGTTAATAATTGCTGTCTGGCAATAAACTGAACTTGAGACAGTGGGTCGAAAGATATCGCTTCATAGTCAAATAGCTCATATACTATCCAGAAGAGAATAAACTGTAGACTCTACCAAGCCATCCACTTTTGTTTAATACCATTTATTGTGGATGCTTGTTTTCTATCTGGTTTCCTCTATCACTGCTGTTACTAGTCTCTGGACTGCCCAATTGACTACTGCTGATGTATGTCATTAGGTACAGAAACCTCCCCCCCCCCACACTAATTCAGGACTGACCGGGGGAATACTTAGTGTGAGAGAAAGAAGATGGCTTTGGAGGTAGAGACTTATAAGATGCCTGCTCTTGGGCCTATTCCAGGCTCAGACACAAAACTCTGGGTGTGACCATGGGCTAATTTTGCAAGGGCAGGCCCACGGACATCAATAGAGCTGCGACAATTTACAGCAGCTAAGGATCTGCCCTTTAATTCCACTGCCTAGGTGTAAAATGGCTACTCCTGCTTCTCCCCACTATGTCTGGACTGTTTGCATTGCAAGGTTTTGAAGGGTAGGGATTTGCCTCTTACTCTATGGGATAGCACAGAGCACAACAAGGCCCTGATCCAAGCAGGGCCTTTTAGGTGGTTTTATAACATGAATAAAACTTGGAGACAGCGGCTCCGCTGTATTTCGGTCTTGTTCTGCTAGCAGCAAAGAAGAATTGGGCAGAGAGGTTTTGGAACTGGACTCACCACAACACTACAAATGTACAGGTCAGTCTTCAAAATAAAGCAGGA